TATTATTTTATTTTTAATTTTTGTTTTGTTCAATTAACAAATCAAGAAAAAGAAACAGAACAAATAACTACAACACAATCACAAATACAACAAATTATCAGAGTAAGGTCATTTTCGCCCAGAATATTATAAAGATCATAAAATTTTTACTTAATCACCCCATTCATTTATATGATGCTCCCTAATATTTTTACGAGTTGAAATGTATAAATTTAATAAATATTGAACACTGAATGTTTTATTACTATGAAACTGGGTAAGATATCTTAACATCTAACAGAGCCTGATTTGTAATAGTACTAACATTACCATCCCCATGTAGTAATTGATGTTTTTCTGAACGACGGTCTAGATTTAAACTTTTGCCCTACTTATGAAATACTTTACCCCGGAGCGTTTTGAACATTTGCAGTCTACAAATAAATGTATTAAGTTTCATCTATTTTTGCAAAACGTACACAGGGTAGATGATGCATAAGTTGGGAACATTTTAAATAAAATAAAATTAATATATAGAATAATTCTCAAAACTGTACAATAAAACGCACGTGACTTGGTTTCTTTGGTAACCTTGTGAGGAAGAGCAAACATTTTTTCCAGTCCAAGATTATAGTAGGAAACAAACATCGATAGTATATTTCGCTTTTCTAGGGGAAAATGTCCTTATATCTAGTATCTAAGTAAATATTCTAGTAGACATTTTGCTAATAACTATAATTTTACCATCACTAGAAACACTTACTGAGATAGTGGGTCTAACAACATAAGAACATTTAATATGCCAAGTTTTCGGAATTGCCTCCACAAGTCCAAACCATTTTAAAACATTACCCTCCAAACGATTAGCCAATAGATCCCAGGACAAAATGTTACCATTTTTATCATATAAATCTGTAATATAAACTAACCTATGTCATATAATTCTCAAAAAAAAAAGATTTTCCTTGAATAATATTATTTTGATTGTTCCAAATAATTTCACTTGCAATTTCTTGAAGATTTTTGGTGGGTTTATGTAGATTTACTGAAGAACATGCATTAAGAACAGACTCGTGAAAGGGTAGCAAGTGTATAGGTAACATTCCCCTATTAAAATTGCACTGGAACAACAAATTTGCTCCACTTACCGACTTAAGATACCAATCAAAAACTTGTTTCCATGGATGGTAACTTTTATCCAAAAACTGTTTAAGCCAATTTGTCTTTGCTCCAACATACATACTCAGTAAATCCGGCATAGACACCCCCCCCCTTTACGTATTACCAGTTATAGTGTTTCTGGTGATCGTATTCGGACCGTTCCAGAGAAAATTATAAAACATCGAGTTAAGTGTAACTAATACTGATTTAAGCAAAGGGATAAGGTTAAAAGTATACATGGGTTTCGAATTACCCAAGGATATAATAACTTATATTTTACCGAGTGAATTTAAAAGCTTTCCAACTGACAAAAGATATTGTTTCATAATAGGTGATTTTCCGAACAATTGCGAGATCTCGCGAGATGCATGAAAGACGCGCGTCGAACGTCTGCCGCAAAAATCGAACGATTTGATTTTGAACTAGAATTTCTTTATTTCGCAGCTTACATTGACCGGCCGATCTTCGACAGAGGAATATTGCTTCCGAACACCCTTACTTCATCAAAATTGCCTATCATCAAATGTGAACAGGACATTATTAAGCATGGAAATGTCCCCGAAATACTTTCGCGTTTGTCAATCCCACGCGATGTTTGACGCCACTACGACGCTATGACCTTTGTTTGTCCTGTTTTTACGTTCGATTTCACGCATAATTCGTGATTCTCGCAGTGTACGGAAAATGGTCTATTCATTGAAGTCGCATAATCATTGTTATCTGACAAATGCCAACAATTGTAACACTCCGTTTTATCCGCATTTACGTTCAGCCCAGATACAGTACTAAACAGTCCAAGTTGCTAAATGTTCCGTAGCAGAGGCCAAGTCTCGAACAAATGTCGTGAGATCATCTGCATAAGCAGTGTATTTCGCCAGACTTGGACCAATCTGAATACCATTTATTTTATTACTTTCAGATGTAGCATTTAGCAAAGGTTACAAAAAACAAACAATGCAGGAGATAAAGGGTCACCTTGTCTTACACTCCGATTCATGTTAAAATATCCAAATGAAAAGCTTTTGTTTATTACACAACTTGAAATATTGAGTAGAAACAATGAATGACTCCCAGAAATTATATTCCTTCAGAATCCGATGCGTTTTCTAATGAAATCACGGGTACGAGTTTTGACCTGGTGCATATGCACTAATTATCGCCGGTGTTTCTTCGATACTTTCCAATCACCTAAAACATTGTATGGTTATTTGTAAGTAATCTCTTTAGCTATCTGTCGGTTATATGAAACAATGGGAATTACGTTAGAAGCTTACAGATCCAGAATCGGTTGTTTTTCTGGTGTGAGTCAAAAAACATCATGGAGTCCTTTCCAACGAACAGCGCATACTATTCAAGTGTATTCACATAATTCTAATGTTGTTATTTATGAGCGGAAACGTCGAATCCAACCCAGGCCCTAGTCCTAACACCCGTTCCCAAGAATTGCCAATCACAAGAAAAGATATCGACGCGATACTGAGTTCCTTAGCCGACATAGCAAAAGACTCCAAAGATTGGAGAACACGATTTACTGCTATTGAGAACCGAATGGTCAATATTGAAGACACCCTGCATGAAATTCAAGAAACTACTATCTCAAGCGCAAAGAGAATCGACGAATTTCAAGCAGGGATAGAAGAATATAAAAATGAATTGAAACTATGTAAGAAAGAATTGTCTAAATTGAGGGGCGAAGTGATAACTATGCGGAAACAAAATGATGACAAAGATAATAGGGACCGTAGGTGTAATAAATAGAACAAAGGAATTCGTCTGAAGATTGGGATACGACTGAGAATGTAATCAAGGATTTGATTAGGAATAACTTGGCATAGTCAAGGAAGATATATTTGAAAGTGTGCACAGCCGGAACCACGTTCTCTCGTGCTGAACGTCCAATCATTGCAAGATTTTTTTGTTCAAAGACAAAGAACATGTCCTACGTAATGCCTTTAATTTGAAGGGATCCGAAATTTTCATTGATGAAGACTTCTCTCCAAGAAAGAGATGAATTCGCAGTAAATTACCAGCAGGGAGACGTCAAATTCTAGCTTGTGATAGCACCGCCAAAGTTAGACTCAGGTTTGATGAGCTTATTGTAAATTTG